AAGGATCCTAACCAAGATAAAGTGGTTAGATTGAAAGGATTATTTTGTAAGATGCTCTTTCCATGTCTGTGCAAAGCTCAGGTGAGTTCACTTAAACCCATTCTTCAAAGAATTTTATGCCAGCTGACTTGTGCTTACAGGAATCTCTGAATTCAAAAGCAARCTTTCTTTCTGTCCTAGGTAATTACTTAATAAATTGCCCGGATGGAAAAAAAAAATGCTGTGGGCACAATCTTACTTATGTTCTCTATTTTTAAAAAATGARGCTACACAAGAACATGAAAGAGTGTACTGTACCTCAGTCCAGATTAGATTGGAAGTATTAAATATTCTTTGCTGCATCTACTGAGCATACAAGTCCCTAAATATCCCTGGCATAAAATAAGTCCATGTTGAGCAGGTAGGCGTGTTTAACTTTATTACTCTAGTGCTGTAGTTTCTTGCTCTGACCATGTACACCCACCCAGCATGTCTTCAATAGGACAGTGGTGTTATTTCTGGTGCCTTTCTGGAATGAATTTAAGAAATCTTTACTTCCACTTAAGTGAGATGTATGATACAGAAGTAACAGGCTTGAAAGAAGAGGGTGAGCGCCGCATACTAAGCAGCGGTGTAGCTACGTTGTGGTCTCTAGGGCAGGGTCTTTGGGAGGGCTCCACGTACCCRTGTGCACTGCAGTCGGGCACACAGCGTGCCAGAAACTGCAGCAGAAACGTTTTCCAAAAAGTTTGAACTTGCAGTTGCTTATAATTAGGAGGTAATATGAAGACTTCAATTAAGCCTGTGACTCTTCTTTGCACTAAACTGTTTCCCAGTAAGTGTTTTGGGGATTAGGTACCCCAGCACAGGTGAATTAGGTTTTCTAGGCATTAGCTTGTGTGTGCTGAGTTGCTTCTCTCTGGCAGGGCCTGATGGTGCTCCTTGACTGCACCTSTTTCCAATCTGTCTGAAGAATGTGTCAATTAACTGCCTTACAGTTTATTTAAATGCTGTGAATGGATTGGTATTTTGCATATGCTGGATTTCATTACTGTCTTAATCCTCTGAAGATTTAAACAAAGAGAATCTAAGGGTTTGAGTCTTTATCAACATATTGAAGGCTGTTGGTGGTCAGCGCACATACGGCTATAAGCTCAGCACACTCTGCACGTCCATCTTATTGAGCCATAAACTTGGGATAGTCTAAGAATTAAGCAGTGGATGATTCATGGAGTCTTTAAAAACAGAAGAACTTTGCCTGCTTCTGCAGTAATGTCTGCCTTAAACACAAATTGCAAGTTAAATATGGTTTTGTAGTTGAATGGTATTACTTCAGTGTATACTATTTATATAGAGTTATTATATATGCTAATATTGAATGCTTTATATTCTATTAATGGTAAATACTATAAAAAGGGTACATTTAAAACCTAAGAACAGAACCAAACCTAACACCCTAGGGAAAGGAAAGAACTGGTTATTAAGGAACTACAGCAGTATAACTTAATTACATTAATCTGTCAGTGTGCCTTGCTAATAAAGATGACTTCTACCATGAGGCCAGCTTAGCTTCTCTTCACTTGTGTCTTGGCTGATGGGACATTATTTTAGAAACTTATGTGCTAGGAAGTGKTTTTTTTCCTACACTGACTAATCATTAGTCCCTCAGAGCTGCATAAGAGCAGCCAGTCTGTGATTCCACAGCTGCCTTCTGCTGTGGTGTTAGGTGTAACGGGCTTGGATTGCAGAGATACTGCCCATGTGGTATCTTCTCCAGGAGGGTTCTTGCTGGGAGGTGCACTCAGCTGTGTAACATCCACCGGGAAGCCAAAATACAATTTTTTTCTCATCTTTGAGTTGTTGTGCCCACTGTTCTGAGTTCAAAACATTTTAGTAACCACGCTGCATTCTGAAGTGGTTTATATAGGAGTAGCACAACAATTTTGACTGTATTTTCAGTGATTGTAATTGTAAGTCAACCAGTGTTTTTAAGAACAGAAAACAGATGTGSAAAATATGAATGCTGTTCATATTCATATAAATGCTTGTTCTAGAGACTGATGACTAGCAGGGAGGGTCCCAAAAAAATGGATTTTCATACTTTTGAAAAATTCCATATGAGTAAATATGAAGTAGCTACGCATGTGGAAGGTGTGTGTGATAGCTTAGATTGCAATGTTATTTATATATATTCACAGTAAATGCAAACAAATTACATTTTGGCCATCATGATGACATTACTGTGAACCTATGATAAATKTTGGTTTTCAATGGCAGTAGGTAATTTTCGGGAGCTTTATTTCTTGACCAGAATAGACCAATATCACTAAAAAGGAAAAGAATTAAAGCCAACATACTTGTTCCTATGTGCCTTACTAGGTATCAGCACTGTCTCTGTCTGGGCTCTTCAATAAAGTTTTCAGGTAATGAGAGATGCTTTTTTTTAATATTCCAAGTATGTGTGTTCTAGTTCGTTGTCAATTTAAACTTGTTTACAGCTTGTAAACAATCAAAAGCCTTCTGTGAAGCGCTTTATT